CCCCAAAACCCCAAAACCCCAAAACCCCAAATATCCTCTGATATTGGTGAATGACATTCTAAATAACTGGTTACAATTGAGCATAGAGAGTAAGATGAGCTTTTTACAAAATTTTATCAAAACCTTCAATAAGTCTATTTGATTTCATAAAATATGACCTTCTGAAGAGTTTTATGTAGCGTAGGTGAAAATTCTGATGAGGGTAGATTCTTTCTTATCCTTATTTGAATTTCCTTCTTTTCATCTATGCTTAGAGATTTTACTTTTAGTATTACATCTGAGCTGCGTTCATTTGAACAATTTTGTGATCAAGAAATTTTGTGACTGCTTCATTAAGTACAAACATCATTGCACTTACAGGGAATGTCATCAAAAGACATGGGCCAATACCTTTATACAGTCTTTTGATTCCATTCTCTCTGTACAAACACAAAAATGTGGGCACAATTTTAGTGTGCTTAGGATTGTATTGAATGGTGTTTTTGACCATATCAATTGGATAAGAAACCAGCCAAAACAATTGGCCCGACATTCCTCCAGCAAGTCATGTATAGAGAGTCTTCTTAACTAGGTTTTCAGAAAGATCATTGATATGCAATCTTTTCTTGATAATGTGGTAGCTTGAGAAGAACACTCCAAATCCTGGTACGTTTCGAGCAAGTACAGGAGCCATCCCTTTATACAGGCCTCTGATTTTTTCTTGCTTGATCAACTTTAGATAAGAAATTTTGCCATCGGGATATCCTTGCTTCTTAATCTTTAGATGCTCGATTGGACACGAAATAGGAGATGACACAACTCCAGCGAACATTCCAGATAACACAAACTTTGCTTCCAGATTTATCTCGAAAGGCTCAAGTTTGCGTCTGCAGAAGGCATTAGACGCCCAGACAATTCCAGAAGTTGGCGCTCTACCAAGCACAGGAGACACAGCTCCCTTGTACATACCTGTGATACCTTCTTTTGTGAGGATCTCTGAGAATACTCTGAAAGCGCTCTGAGAATTGTAGAGCTGCATTCTCACTCTGATCGTATCCAGGGGATATCCCATAAAGATGGCAGTGCCTGTTGAGACAAAAGCTGCAACAAAATCTTTGAGGAATTTCTGAACCCCATGATATTTGTGCATAGGTTGGATCGTATAATCTCCAGTAGACATTTCACCCAAAAAATCAGGATTAAAAATATAATTTATTCAGATCCAACCAGATTTACGAGTTGTGGGGTTTTGGGGTTTTGGGGTTTTGGGGTTTTGGGG